CTACTGCTACTATTACTGCTACTTCTGCTATTACGATGCTACTGATCTTGTTTAAATATTTCCGGTCCAGATTTATTTTTGATTGATCCTTTACCCTCATGTTTTTCATTAGACAGTAGCCTTCCAAAATGTATCTCCCGAGGAGCAGAAGAGGGCGCAACAAATTGAAATTCTCCAATTATTAGCTTGATGCAAAACAAGACCCTGCAAATTGTAATTCCCACATGGTGCGACATAAGAGAGCAGCCTCGAGATTGTAATCCGCCAATAGCTTGAAACAAGACAGAGCCAAGCAAATTGTAATCCCCCCACGCCACTAGCTTGACACACGACAAGAGCCTCCAAATTGAAAGTCCCGAGCAGCTTGGGGCAAAACAAGACCTTGCAAATTGATATTTTTTTCAAAAGAGCGTGATGCTAAACAGGAACAGCAGCCTCGAAATTGTAATCCCCCACTATCTTGAAACAAAACAGAGCCCTGCAAATTACCCAACAGCTTGACACAAGGAAAGAGTGTCCAAATTGTAATCACCCATATGCTTGGGGCAGAACAAGACCGTGCAAATTGTAAGTCTGCAATAGCTTGATGCAAAGCAAGAGCAAATGCTGCAGTTTACAGTAAGCTTGGGTCACAATTCTCTAATAGCTTGATTCGAAGCACGACGGTGCAAGCTCTAATTCCCCGATAGGTTGACACGAGACAGAAGCCGTCGAAATTTGATTCATTACTGCTACTACTGCTACTAACTACTGCTACTACTGCTGGTGCCATCACTACTACTACCACTACTACTACTACTACTACTACTACTACGACGATACTCGACTACTAGGACCAGTTTACATGTGTTTCTGATCCCTGACCGTTTGTTTTTTCGGTAGCCCTGTTGCATAGGTACTGGTTTATTATTTGATAAGTAATAATGTTTTTATTTTTGTTGATCTTTGTGGTTTATTTTTTGATCCTAACTTAATTTTTCTGATCCGTCACCCATATTGACACAGCACCGCGGCATCGTGCATGCGAAAGTACATCAATGTGCATGTCGGCTACCACATGGTATCATGTTGCAGCTTGTCATCTCTTTCGCATGATCTCTTGGAGAACGCAGTCTTGACCGGGAATACATGCCCTGTCGTGCCGCCCAGTTGCACTTCTCACCAGAGCCGGCGAAAATGCCGCGCCTTGGCCGACGAAGTGAGGTTGAGGTGGGCAATGGTGGGCACCGTCTAAAGTTGGGGCGTTCAGGAGATTTCAGGGGAGTGCATCCGGTAGTCAGGTTTTGTACTAAGGCACACTTCGGCAGTTTGGATCTGGAATGTATACATATCGCACATTGTGATTGAACTTGCGAGAAGCCAGATGTGATTGAACTGATGGACGAGCCAGCATTGGAGAACTGCCTGTTGGTCAGGAACGGCAAGGTGTTTCGACGGTCACCGACAACCCTCGGATGAGCAGCGGTACTCTACTTGATCGCGAATTCCCCGCGGCTGTTTGCCAGGGCGATCTTGTGAAGCCTGGATGCCAGGTGCTAAAGTAAGTTAAAGTTTCGGTTCATCAGTGTTTGGCAATGATTCGCTCGCACAGGGTCTTGTGCAGTCAAGCAGTAGTACCCAGTTGAAGTTGCCCAACCAAGAAGTTCCTTAGTTCTTGTTGAAGCTATGTCATTGCAAGACAAGTTGCATTTTGCCCATGCACTGAGAGCGCCTCAGTCATACTAATTCCTGCAGAAGACTGCAGGTCTGACTGCTTATTGGCGTCAGTTTGACCGTGGAGATTGCTTGAATCCAGCACGTGAGAAAACGAATGCGTTGTACTGCAACTTGAAGGATTTAATCCCTGCGTCGATTCGAGCAATCTTGAAACGTGGGATTTTGAGATGTGCTTTGTGAGCAATCCCGTCGATTAGTGCGCCAAGCTGCGACGAGCTGTCAGTCGATAGTGGAAGGAAGCGTCACAACCGCCGTGTCGCATGCCATGGTGCTTCACGCAATTTGTGATGCCTGTTCCGTTCTCAGGCATAAGCCCGGTCGACGGTGGATTTTGAGGGATGCTCCGACGCAAGACCTGCTACGCAGAACAATCCGGAATGGGTGCGAAGGCCACAAAGTCCAGCTACTCAGTTCTGTTTGGCCGAAGTATGACAGTGTGGCATGACGAGTGCCGCATCCATTCCTTATTCTGCACAGCTGCATCTGCAAAACCTGCTCCGTGTTAAGAAACATGCAATGATTCAAGAGTCAGCAATCAAAGAGCCTTGTGCCAACATTCCGAACACCTCCCTGCCAAAGCTGCCCACGGGCTTTACGAGCTCAGGAGTGGGACTTCTTCCAACATTTGCAGATGCAGACTTGTGGCTGTGAGATCTGTGTCCGCACTGTACAAAGGCAATGGGGTCTTGCAACCGCGGTTCCTCCGCAAAGAAAAAGGCCGCTTCGAAGAAATGCAGCATTCACGAGTTGCGAAGCACCCCGAGCCCCCAACTCTGTTGCCAAACATAATTTTAAATTGTATGTGCATGTACATTGACTTTAATTTACATGGCTACAAAATGCATACTTCATTATGTTGTTATGACGAGTTTGCCCAGGAGCAAGCCAAACAAGAGCTTTCCCCGTTCAGCAGTCCAGGTCGAGCAGGGCAAGAGTGTAAATGTATTGGCTTGACAAGCAGATTATGGCAAGACGACGTGCAATAAGACCAGATGAGACAAAACAAAACACAGTCTACTCTAGTGCAACATTGAACTTAGGCAATGTCAGATATATTGTAGAAGGCCTTTGACAGCTATTGTATCCTCTCGAGTGTTGTCTGATGTCAACTATTTGGGTAGTTCTTTACACTCTGGCTGATACAAGCTTGCTAACTTCTCTCATTATTCAGTGTGCTTTAGGACAGAATTTTGTGATCTGTTGAACAAGATAACTTGCAATACTTTCGATCTGGTGTCTTGTAGTACAACTTAGGTAAAAGCAGAACAGCTCATACTCACACATACACATACTCATAGTTCAGTCTACAATAGGTTCTGTAATGTATGGTGCGACAGACTCGCACATATGATATTTACACACAATACATTGCATATGTGCATATGTATGTATGTGCGTACGTACGTGCATATGTATGTATGTATGTATGTATGTATGTATGTATGTATGTATGTATTCACGTACGTATGTATGTGTGTATAGGTGTATGTGTGTATGTATGTATGTGTGTGTATGCATGTATGCATGTCTTCATGGTTGTATGTATTTATGTACCTATGTACGTATGTATGTGTGTATTATGTATGTATGTATGTATGTATGTCTGTATGTATGTATGTATGTATGTATGTATGTATGTATGTATGTAGGTAAGGTATGTATGTTTGTGTGATATGTGCGATTGCAATGTGATTGATGCTTTACAAGATGGTGGAGTTGATTACACACTACTTGTCCTGTGCATTCTACATGCGTGCAGCTGCTCAGCACCGCCGGAAGGAAACTCAGAGTCCTACAGAGCAGAAGGGATGCAATAGAAATTGTCAATTGTGTATGACTTAGCCTGAGATTGTCCACACATGGGTGCAGGATGAATTTAGCATAGCCCACGGAAACCCACAAAAAGCAAGCAGCTAGGCTAAACTGGCCCACATGTGCGCTGCCATGGCGCATGGAAGCAGCATGCTCAGTTTGCGATTTCATGAAGGCAGTACTCAGTTCGTGGTACTGATTTCTTCCGTGCTTGGTCGTGTGCCCACAGGTCCCATCACAAGCGATTTTCCTGCGGGTAGTTTCCCAAGGCCGGATGGCGGCCAAGTCATCTCATCGGCGTGTCAGGCAGAGCAAGGAGCTCTGTCCCGAATGTCAGGCCTCAAGTCGCTTGTTGGCGCTGCCAGCCTCAATCCTGGGGTGTTGACATATACGAGCATCGATATGTTTGACATCGGCACATGGGCACAGTCACATTGGCGTTGGCACACTGGGACTCGGGGAGCCCTTCCGAGAAACTTGTCATGGCATGAACACGACGGCGACAGTCATCATGCTTTCATTTATGCTTGAATTCGCGTAGGTCGCGAGGATGAACAGAAAAGACAGAAGCAGTCTCAGATGCGGTTTTCGCATCTTCTACCGGGTCTCGGAGTTGGAATTTCGTGGAACCGGTCATCACTGCTTCCGATAAGTAGGGGCTTAGCCCGCGTGTTTTGTAGCTGGTGTGTGTCTTGAAACCAAATTGTTCAGTTTACATGCAGCTGAAAACTGAGTCAGCTAAGAAGAAGCCTTGATGTGAATTTGCGAATGCGCAGATCTTTGTCCCAAGATTTGCCCCCTGAGCCGTCGCCCGTGAGGACACTCTTGTGCTTGCCGCCCTGGCGCTGGCAGTGCTTGCGGTGCCGGGAAGTGCAAGTACAGTCATCTTGACCTAGGCTGTGGTTGGCAGACATCAAAGGCAAAGGGAAGTGTTTTGCACGGCTTGCAGCTTCCCCTGATCGGAGCCATGAATACTTACAACTTACAAGGCGGAACTCCGTCCAGAGCTATTTAAAGCCTCGGGGTCGGAGAGCCAGTCCTAAGATACATCCGGAACCCTGGCAAAGCCTATGCATTCGGCAAAATTTCATCTGGTCATATGCTTAAGAACCTTGAGGCCGTAAGACTTCAGTTCGAAGGCCTTTGCACAGCCCAAAGCCTCAGGTGCTCGGCTCCTCTGCGGCCTTTTCCACACCGCGATCGGACCGGACGCTGCCTCAGAATGTGGCTGTGGGGTTATTGGTCTGTGATGGTTTGGGACTCACTGCCGGGTTGCTCACTGCCACTGGCACCGAGGTTTAGGAGAGTTGTGATTGGGGTCTGGGGAGGAGTGAGCATAAGTTCATACATATCTGTCTATGTCGTCATGGTTCGCATGCCCGCGCTAGTTTCTGTCAGAAGTTTGTGCGCGGCGCTTCTAATGCTCGGTTCAAGCCGGTGGCTTCGGGGCCGACGCGAATTGGCTAAGCGGTAGCTCGACGGGCAGCTGGGACTGTCAAAGTTTCTAGCTCAGCTCTAGCTGGAAAGTCGGAGTGCAGAGCTCTGCCATGGCTGATCGACCCTCGAAGTCCCATGCTCTGTGGCGACTGAGGCGGGAGACGCGTGTCTGGCTTTGTTGGTGCAGAGTGCGTCTACTCCATGTCCGACTAGCAGTATACGTTCCATTCAATCAATCAATATCTTGAATCCTAGCCGAGTGCCCTCAAGATGCGTTGCACATGACCATGGAGTTTTTGTTTGTCTGTGTGTGTGTGCGCGAGTGCGTGATCCACTTGGCAACGGCAGGGCTTTTCTCCGACATGTTGACATCGCGTCGACGCTTGAAGCAGGGCTTGCGGGCCACCATGCAGGCAGCAGGGACCAGAAATCGCCATCATAGTACTGGTTGTTGGGAGCAGTAGCACTAGCACCAGCACTGTCAGATGCAGTAGCACTAGCACTAGCAGCACTAGTAGCCGTAGCCGTTGTATTAGTAGCAGCAGTAGTAGCAACATGGGTAGCAGTAGCAGTAGTTGCAGCAGTGGTAGCAGCAGCCGTAGTAGCAGTAGTAGCAGTAGCAGCAATAGTTGGAGCAGTCGTCGCCGTCGTCGTCGTGGTTCTGGTCGTACGTAATAGTCGCAGTGCGTAGTAGTAGTAGCAGTAGTAGCAGTAGTAGTAGTAGTAGTAGTAGTAGTAGCAGCAGGAGTTGTAGTAGTAGTAATAGTAGTAGTAGTAGTAGTAGTAGTAGTAGTAGTAGTAGTACTAGTAGTAGTAGTAGTAGTAGTAGTAGTAGTAGTACCAGCACTAGTACTAGTACTAGTACTAGTACTAGTACTAGCAGTAGTATCAGTAGTAGTAGTAGCAGCAGTAGTAGTAGTAGTAGTAGTAGTAGTAGCGGTAGTAGTAGTAGCACTAGCAGTAGCAGTAGTAGTCGCAGCCGTAGTCGTAGTCGTCGTCGTCATCGTAGTAGCAGCAGTAGCAGTGGCAGTGGCAGTGGTAGTGCTGGTAGTGCTGGTGGTGGTAGTAGTAGTAGTCGTCGTCGTCGCGGTCGTCGTCGTCGTCGTCGTAGTAGTAGTAGTAGTAGTAGTACTAGTTGTTGTTGTTGTTGTTGTTGCTGTTTTAGTTCTTGCTGTATGTATGCTACCGGTAGGGTTGTTAGCGGTGGTGGCAACGGTAGAGGTAGCAATCGTCGTGGCTGGTAGTAGATGTAATGGTAGCAGTCGTGGTTGGCGGTGGTGCTGTTGGCGAGGGTGCATCTTAACTAAAAGTTATCAGAAGTCCCACAACATCATGATGCAAACAGAAACGGATTCTAATGATGGGCGGAGCTGTAATAGTATGAGTCAGAATCACAATCAGGGTGATAGCAGCAGTGGCAGCATTCGCGGTTGTTTGCACATGATCAGTAAACCAGTATGGTTTGCGGTGTTTATTTATGGTAGTCTCTCCCGCAACGAAACCACCAACACCAGTGATTAGCCATCATCATCTTCGTCATCCTTCATTCATCACCTCCGGATGATGCTTGTGATGATGATCACCACCACCGTCATCAGCATCATCACCACTACCATCACCATCACCACCATCTTCATCATCATCAACATCATCATCAACATCATCATCAACATCATCATCATCATCATCATCATCATCATCATCACCATGATCATCATTATGATCAGCAGCAGCATCACCATCAGCATGAGCATGAGCATGATCATGCTAATGCCGGTTTTGTGCTGGAAGTACCAATCCAAGCACTCCTTTGCCGATTGATCTCAGATGCTTGGGCAGCTGCAGATGCTGTGGCTTGCGATCTGCTGAAGCAGCTGACACCTGATGAGATTGCTGGCCTGATCGGCGGGCGAGGACTGAGGGCTAAAGTTCCACTCTGTATCTTGTTCAATGGCATCGACAACAGCCACTAGCAGATCCTGACAATCCAGCGCAGCGTTACCACATCTCAGCGGTGCTGTGGCAGGATTGCTGTCTGCGTCAATCTCATGCACTTTCTTCCAGATGCTAGCTTGGAGGCTTCTGGAGCAATGGTGGCGTACCGCGACTGAAGCTGCCAGCGCTGCAGATGACTGACGGCCCAAGTGGTGCTCGCGGGCCACTGCCCGGGCTCGCTTCGGCCTGTGCCGGGCCTAGCGGCCCAGCGACATGCTTTGACGTAGGTTCTGCTGTCCATATTTCTGCGAACACAATCGGGGTGCATGCAAACCTCGCACGTAGACGTAGCCGTAGTTCTGCGGACCTGGTCACAAGTGGCTGTCTGTCCAGGCGTTCCGTGTGGATCTGCCTTGGGCGCCACCTGGGACCTTGAATTGTGTCGGGATCCGAGAGGTTTGTCGGCAGATTTGCAGATGCGGTTCTTCTCTTTTGTCTTGTGCTGGGAGCAGAGGTCGGAAGATTGGCGCTCTCCTTGGACAGGAGACTAAGGCAAGAAAGAGCATCCTGAAGAATCTGCTCGAGTGCATGCCCTCGACGAAGGTGAAAGGTGCTCACATCCTTCTGGGCCCCACGGTCAACCTTCAACGCCACCCGCTGGGAGGATTGCGTTTGCAGTTCGCGGCGGGCAGAGGGCTCTAGCTCTCAATGTAAATAGACACCGCCAAAGGTTCCCCTAGCTGATGTTGCAGGACGTAACTTCGAATGCTTCTCAGAAGATCCACAGTTGAGTGCAGCGTTGGCTGCGGCATACATTGAGGGCGTTCAGGCAAGGACGGGTCAAGCGATCAATGGAAGCAGCATGACGTCCGTCATATCTTGCGAAAAACATGAGAAACTCCTCCAGCTCTGTGTGTCTGGATGCTCGCTCATCTCTCGTCTCTGCGTCCAGTAATGAGGCTGAGCACCGAAGCCATAGTTTGCAGCGGGAGTACCAGCCAGCACTCTCACATCTCGCAGAGAAATGCCAGGCAGGCTTCAGCCCCGGGCCACCTGACCAAGCGAATGAGTAGGGCACGGGTTTGGAACAAAACGCCGGTGTAGTCGGAGGAGCACGCAAACGAGAGCCAGCCCGAACGTTATAGATGATCCTGGCGATGACATGGCTGCTTCCGAGAAGTTGATTCGAACCGTTGTGGCAGCAGTCCCCCACTGTAAGCAGTAATGATGATAAACACGCAGCGACAATTCAAAAGCATACATAGGACATGCATCGTGTCTCATGCTTTTTATCGTCACTCAAGCGGTACTGGTCGTGACGCATCGTACATTCACAGCCTTCTTCTTGTCGTCAACCAACCCTACCCCTCCATCCCCATCGTCCACTCCTTCCTTCCCCACGCAAAACAGCTTGCCTTCTTTGCGAGTTGTGAAATGCGAGTTGCGATTTCCTTTGTGAGAACAGCCGTTGCCACCCCTCCACCCTCCAAAACACCCCACCGGCTTACCTCCATCTTGTTTTACTCTTCGTCTACTCGCCACCAGCCAACGACTCTCCGTGTGTCGACGGTCCATGACGCTCCCACATCACGTCCCACCTTTCTCTGCATCTGCAAGTGTTGGTGACTTTGCCGCGAGGAGCAGGGCGTTGCATGCTGCGTGAAGCACTTGGTTGCCAACGACCAGGAGCATCGGCGCAGCTACATCAGTGCAGAGGTTTCAGAGAGACTGGCCTTCTCACCAGTGGGTTGCCGGGCGGTTGCCGGGTTGCCATTGTCCAAGTTACTTCAAGCATCTTCATGATTCATGCTGGGTTTCCCGGTTCGACCCAGGAAGGCACTGCGTGAAGTCTATTTGGTCCCTTTCGAGGCCGCTGTCCAAGCCGGCTGCATGGCTGTGATGACGGGGTACAACCGGGTGAATGGAACCTTCTGCTCCGAAAACCGGTTCCTCTTGCAGGAGATCTTAAGAAAAGAGTGGGGCTTCAGAGGCTGCGTGATGAGTGATTGGACAGGAACTCACAGTGTCTGGGGCTCTCTGGAAGCAGGCTTGGATCTGGAAATGCCGGAGGCACCTTCAATGTTCTACAAGGATCGTTTGAGCCGCCTTTTCCATGGAGATCCCGACGGCCTCGCCGAGATGACGAAGCCCCGAGCGCTGGCTGTACTCAGAGTGATGGCGCGGCTAGGCTGGGACGTCGTGTGGAGATGCGCCTTGTGCCAAGTCTTGGCTGCCTTTCTCGCACCTCTGTGTGGCTGCGAGGCCTCCAAACGGGCATGCCGACTCCGGCCCCGGCAAACTCGGCGAATTCACCAGAGCTGCGGGAGCTGCTGGCGATGGCCGCCGCCGAATCGGTTGTGCTTCTCAAGAACGGATCCGGCCCACCGTCAGATGGGCCGTTGCCGCTTGGCCGTGGACCTGTGGCCGTACTCGGGCCCAGTAGCCGTCGCTTGACAACGCAAGGAGGCAGAGCGCAGAATTGGTAGCAGAATTGCACGTACTTTAGTTGCCTTGTCGCAACGGCCTCTGCAGGTGGAAGTGCAGCAGTCGAGGAGAACCCTGGTTCCGTCAATTTAGTGGAAGCACTGCGACAACGGCTCGGAGAACATGCTGTTCATTATGCGCCTGGTTTGCACTCCGTTGTGCGGCACCTGGGCGACTAATGTCCTGGCCTTCAGGGTTAGGCTCCATCCATACCCAAGTCGTCCAGCTGCCTGCGCGCTCTGAGGGCCGGGGAACGGATGCGGCGACGCGGCTGCTTCCGCCACCTGACCCTGCCGAGCTTCGGGCAGTGGAGGGTGCGGGTGCCTCGATCCTGTATCATCAAGACGGCCGAGAGCACAGCACGTGAGAGCAGAACATACTGTTGTTCTCGTATGATCTCCTTAGCAGCATAGTGTTGATGATGATGTGGAATTTCAG